CCCTTTGTTTCTTACCTTCTCGTTTCTTACCTGTGTCGTAGTGCTGGCCTCCCCATGTCTTTCAGGTTCCCAATGCTCTCTTTCTTCAGGCTGGGCTGTCCTTGTGGGTGCCACATGGTTTGGTGGTCCACAGCTTCCCCCGCCCTCATCTTCCCCTCCCCGCGATGAGCCTAGTTTAAAGCCCGGTGGATGCACAATTGATGCACCAAAGCATGCCCAGTGGATCTAGTTTATTTGAACAAGTGCAACATTGCCATTTATGAGTTTAAGCGTTACTATTTATTTGTTGTGTGGCAGCACATAGAAGCCCCAGTCATGGAAGGAAACCCCTGGGTTGTTAGGACCTGTACAAACCTGGGATAAAAAGATGGTATTTGCCCCAAAGACCTTGGAGGCAAAGTATAAGACAAAAAACCAAAGTTAGATACAGGCTGACAGATGGGTGAGTGAGCACAAGGAGATGCTAGGTAATTGTTATCACTGCTGGAAGTTAGTAGTCAGATTCTCTTTCAAGCTAATTTTCAGGGTAAGTGCCACATTTTTACCTTAGCCATGATCTCTGTGGATACTACTAAATGCAGTGATGTGCACAGTGTGATTTCATAGACATTCAGGGCTGGAAGGGACCTCATGAGACCATCGAGTCCAGCCCCACTGCCATTGGTGGGAAGAGAGCTGGGATCAAGTGACCCCAGCAAGAAATAAGTCCAGCTGTTTTTTTTTAAGGAGTCCAGAGTAGGTGCTTGCACCAGCTTTGGGGGGAGTTTGTTCCAGACCCTGGACACACGCACCGTAAAGAACTTATTTCTTATATCCAGCCTAAATCGGCTTTCCTGGAGTTTATGGCTGTTAGACCTTGTTATCCCTTGTGGAGCTCTGGTGAACAGATGTTTTCCCAGGTCCTGATGTGCAACTCTTATGAAGTTGTACGCTGCCACCAATTCCCCCCTGAGCCTTCTGTTTTCCAGACTGAAGAGTCCCAATTCCCTCAGCCTCTCCTCGTATCGCCTTCCCTCCAGGCCTTGGATCATACGAGTGGCTCTCTTCTGGACTCTCTCAAGCTTCTCCACATCCCTCCTGAAGTGGGGGGCCCAATACTGGATGCAATACTCCAGCTGATGTGCTCACCTATGTTTCATCTGGGGATGAATGATTGCCAGCTCTTTCAAGACCCTCATGTGCGTTCCATCTGGGCCCGTGGACTTGTGAATGTCCAGTTTCTCGAGGTGTTCCCTCACCTGATCCACATCGGGTTTGCTTTTTTGGGGGCGAGGGTGGGCATCACCCACTCCCATATTGGTTTGTGCCATTTCTGGCAGTGTGATCCTCATGGGAGAGTGAAAAACTTATGCAAAAAAGTCATGTAGGAGATTGGCCCTTTCTTGGACATCAGAAGTCAGTTGCCCTGTTGGATCTCTCGGAAGCCCAATACTGTCCCTGTTATTTTTCCTACTTCCCACATATCTAAAGAAGGACTTTTTGTTGTCCTGGATCCCTGTAGCTAGCTTACGTTTGGTTGATGCCTTGGCTTTTCTCAGCTGCTCTCTGCAGGTGCGGGCGAGTGCAGAGTTAATCCTCTTTGGTAATGCTTCCTGTTTTCCAGCTGGCGTAGGCTAGTCTTTTGAGCTTAATGAGGTCCAACAGTTCCTTATTCAGCCATAGGGGCCTCCTTGCTCATTGACTGCATTTCTTGCGAGGAGAGATGGCTTTGCCCTGTGCTCCAAGGATTGTTTTTGAGTGATGACCATTCCTCATGTACTCCCTTTTTTAGGGTGGGGGGTATAGCCTCTGATTGCCTGACTGACCAGTTCTCTCAGTTTGCAGAAGTCAGCCTTTCCAAAGTTAAGGACTTCTGTTTTACTGAGGGGTTTGCCTGCTCTTCAGTGAACTAAGAAGGTGACCAATTCATGGTCACTGTCACCGAGCTTCCCTTAGAGCCACAGATCGCTCGCCGGGTCCTTCCCTTTGGCCAAGACCAGATTCAGCAATGTCTGTCCCCTAGGAGAGGATGAGTAGGAGCAAAGAAGGAGGGCCAGGTCATAGGAGAGCTCTATCCCCATGTTTTACCAGGGCACTCAGCAGTGCAAAGAGAAGCTGAATACCATCTTGAAAACTGTAATGCCTGAAATGTGCATCAGTGGTCACATGGGTCTAGGGAACCACCCTAACAGGGAGCCAGAGTGAATAAAGATTTTCCTCCTAGAGCTCTGCCTGTCTCCCCCATCATCACTCATGGCTAATAAAATAGATGGGAGGCTATTCTCCCTCCCCACTTCAGAGAGAGAAGGGATGGCCTCTTCCTGATTTTGGTAAGCTTTATGTGGAGATCACCCCCTCCCTCTGCACAAGGCAGCACAGTGGTCATGAGATTTCTAAATGAGTGTGTGTGTATGTACATCAAGGCAGTAACATTAATGTGGCACTGAGCAATGCCAATGATCCCTGCTGTGTGTTACCGTAGAGGCCCTGGGGTCCCCTATGCTTGTTCCAAGCCATGTGTACTTGCTGGGTGAGCAAACACTGAGGTTGGGAATCCTCCATTCTGGCTAGCTGATATCTAGAAGCAAGTATAAGTGGGGGAGATGCTTGAGTATGTCTTATTGAGGGAGTGCACCACTTGGGTCTTAACATAAAGCAGGCTGACTCTCCGGCCCCATGGTCATTTGAGAGGATAGGAGCAAAGTAAACTGGAAGGGACTGGGTGCACAGACTTGGCCTGCTGGTTGAGAGATGTCTACCTTGTGCTAAGCTGGTGTTTCACTAAGCACTCCCTGCTCATGCCTGATTCTGCTAGCCGTTGTGGCTGTGCTCATGAAGTTGCCCTCTGCTGTCTGGCCATTGCACATTGCCACGTATTCACCATTGCCCTGCATCAGCCAGGCTGAATTATGAAAGAATGAATCAGCAGTGACTGGAGAACATGTACAGTGAAAAGGCATAGATAGGGTTTGGGCCATCTTTCCTTTGCCTGTGACTGGGGACCCATCACCTGCTTGAGGCTTATCTCTTCTGAAAGACCTCAGAGCGACAGCAACTGCACAGAGCATCATGTCCACAGCTCCTGCAGGTTCCTGCCAACCTGCTGGGAGAGGGGCAGTTGTAAGCAAAAACACTCCTGTGCATTTATTGCAAATGCCACTTCTCTGGAGGGGTGTGTCACTGCCAGCAGAGACAACTCCCTGTTGCCCAAATCCCATCATTCCTCTCATCTCCATCTCACCTTTTTAATAACCACTGCTGGATTGGACGGTAGAAAAGAATAAATTACTCTTATCAAAATGAAGCTGGATTTGTACCTCCATTGGAAATGTACTAACCTTGTAAATTTTCCTTGTAGGATTGAGGAGGTTAGTCAATGAAGTGGTTATCCTTTTTGGTTCAGGTGTTATTCTTGGCTGGGTTTAGATGATGTGGCATGGGTGTGCGAGTGTGTTTTCAGAATGATGCAGCTTTCACGGGATAAATTGAAGTATATTGATAATTGGTCCTCTAGCAGCTGGGTGCTAACCCTGATAAATGTTTGGGGCTAGGAATTTTGCTTTCCAAAAGGTCCTTCCGTGGGGATTCTCAGCTTCAAAGGGATGGATGTGTTTGTGCTCCCGTCTCCTGCCTGCTGGTAAATCAAGATGAGTAGAAGGTGCAAATTGTATCGCCCTGGGCTTGTGACAGCAGTTGTCCCCAGCATGAAGTTCACCCCTGCTGAGCCCTGCCAGGGGAAACAGATTAACTCGCTAACACAGTGGTTCTCAACCTTTTTAGACTCAAGGCTCTCCTCATTAGACTTCAGGCACCTGCTGGAAAATGCCAGTGCTGAGCTTTTGCTTGTTTCTTGATGAGAGAAAAAAAATGCCCTATTATTTTTCTGGTTCAAAGAACGCGGGAAGACCACAGAGGGCAGAATGTGTTTTGACTCTGTGGGTCCCTATTTGAAGTCTCTGGATTCATCTTGCGAATCGTGTAGCTGTTTTTATACCTAGCAGTGCTGAGATTGCGCATCACCTTTAAAAGGATCACACCGCACCCCAAGGTGTTGTGGCATCCTGGTTGGGAATTGCTGCTCTAACAAGTGCATAGGGGTCCAGTTGGGAGAGGGTTTTCAGTGCCTTGGCTCCCTGAATAACGCTGCCCTGCCTCTGGGTGGTCAACTTGGTCCCTCTTTTGTCTTCTTCATAGATGCTATGGGCTGGAATGCAGCCCGTGGCCATTTTTGGCACTGCCAAGGAGGGTCAACTCATTCCAAACCGCCAAGCAGGAAGGACCAAGGTATTTCTCGTCTTTTGTTGTTGTTGTTGTTACCCATCGGTAAAAAGAAGAAAATAACTTATTTCGCACTCATGGTTTCTTGGGAGATCTTTTGTGGTCGACACTGTGAATGAAAAGTGCTACCATATCTTGTCACATACAATACAGCTCCAAACAAGACACATCTCTTCATTTGGGAAAGGCATAATAATAGTAGTAGTAATAATAATAGTAGTAGTAGTAATAATAATAATACCACCTCATCCAGGTTCATGGCTAAGTTTTGACTGCAAGACATTAGCGATGCTTTGGGGTTTTCCTTTTTTGCCTGTACAATGTGCCAGGGTGGTCTGGGTTGTGTTTGGAAGCTGTGGTGTATGGGAGCACTCCATGTCTAGATGTCTTTGGGGACAGGGCAATGGGCTCGGTGACTGCAAAACCCACCCCAGTCCTATATGCCGGTGACCCACAGGGCCTGTTAGGTTGTCTGCAAACCCCAGTGCCAAAGTGCTGCTCTCTCTCCCTTCCTGTAATGCCAGTCTTATAACACCACCTGCTTCATCCTTGTCGAGATGCTTTACTGTGTGCTTGATCAATAGCCTTTCCGATAAAGTGCTGCTTTCATCCTTCCCACTTACGCTTCTGCTTCCCTCGGGCCAGTTCCCAAACAAACGTGCCAACTAGCCTCTATTTCTCTGCTGAAGTATTTCTTTTTCAGTGTCTCTCTCTCTCTCTCTCTCTGCCCCCCATAAAAAGCCGTTTCTTGCAGAAAGCTGCTGGAATTTTATGAAACACTCTGAGTTTTAGGTTTTAGTGCCGACCATCTGTTAGCGAATGCCATTTCCTTCCCCTGCTGTCAGGGAGGAGACGTGCCTTTATTCCTCTCAGGTGTAGCAGCCTGTCCACCGTCGGACCTCTCCCCCATCTGCCAGTCCTCCTGCCTGCCGCTCAGACACCTGTGGCAGCTCCAGTTCTCTTGGCAGCATTGCCCCTCCTCTTCTTCAACCGGGGAATATGATGGGTGACAGTAAAGCAGACAGCGGGGCTAAGAGCAAGGTAAGCAGGCTTCCCTTCCTGCCACTGATGGACTGAGTGACCTTGGGCCAATCACTTCTTCATGCCTCCCTTTTTTTTTTTTCATATCGCTGAAAGCAAGAAATTAGCACTTATTTCTCACTTACTGTTGCTGTGGTGCTGGGAGGGAGATCTTTCTTGGCTGAGGTTGTGAATGAAAAGCACTACCCTATTTTCTAGCATACCACATGCCTCAAATAAAATGCACATCTTGTTTGGGGAAGGCAGAATGAATAAAAAACATTTTGGGGGGTGGTAGAGTTATAGCAGAGTACTGATTTGCAGAGGCAGAGTGCACCCTGTAGCATCAGCAAAAGCTTCAGTGTTAACCCTCTCACAGTCGCTGCCAAATTGGCAACAAGTTTGGGCTGCTCAGTCAAAATCTACTGCCAGTCCAGTATCACTTGTAAAAAGGTTAACAATGCAGCTCAGCCCCTGAACAGTGAGCTCCTCCCTCCCTCTATGGGCCTAGCAGACAGACATGCTTCCTCCATCCTGGCACAGAAAATCAGGTTCCCTGTTTCAGACTTGCACCTCAGTTTTGAAGACTTTTTTTTTTTTTTTTTTTTTTTTTTTTTTGGAGGAAAGGTGCATATGCTATGGGAACAAATACAGTATGTTGTTACAACAGCACCCACAGGCTTTGGTTGAGATCAGAGTCCTATTGTGCTGGATTGTTCATGCCTACTGCCAGAGACGGACCCTGCCCTGAGGAGCTCATAGCGGTCGCTCACCCTTTGGCTAATCAGGTTAACAGAAGATAACTGAGGTATGCCTAATGCCTTGCCCAAGGTTACCTAGTGAGCTGGGAGCAGAGTCAGCATTTTGAGCCCAGGTCCCCCATATCCCAGCCCAGTGGCTTCCTGAGGAGCTCGGACTCCTTCCCCTCATCCAAGACCCAGTTGTAATAGGTGGGGCACATCCAAAAATATTTGCATTTGGACTGTAAGAAGATCTGACGAGCTTGCTCATCTAAGCAACACTCAATGGGCAGGACAAATGGTCAAGGGCAAATTTTGTGGCCCCTCTTTGAATTTGTGCCTGGTTCAAAGCTCCTAGGCTTCATGATGGGACTTTGCTTCCTCCCTTGCAGCTGTACAACCAGAATTGTTGAGAGTGCAAGGCAGTGGGTTAGGGGGTGGGTGTAAGCAGGACCACTAAGCTTTGGGGTAGGGAA